AACCCTCAGTGCAATACCTGTAAATATACATTGTACAGATTATACAGATCCGTACAAGTCTATAGTTTTAAGTACTCTATTTTTATTCCTATTTATCTCGTTTCATAATGAGCATTCTGTCTGCATTGTTTACTGCCTGTTTATACTGCTTATTTTGCATTGTTTGCTCTGTTTGTTGCTTGTTAATACTGCTTATTTTGTTAAATTACACAGCCTTATGCTGGTTTACTGTTTACTTGCCCCTTGCATGGAGATATGTATACACACATTAAGACCCGATGTACCAGAGTCAAATTCCTCATTTGTCCAACACACCTGGCCAATAAAGCAGATTCTGATTCTGATTCTGATTAAAATCTAGACATATTTAAGTGCATATCTTTATTTCTGTTTTCTTTTAATGTTTTAAGTGTCTCTCAGCTTTTGTGGCCAGTGTTGTAAGTGTTTTGTAAGTGGTAAGTGTTTAGTTGTCCAGCACGGCATCTGAGATCAGACTTAGGGCAGTTGATGGGCCCTGGGTGCACTCATGGAGGTCCGCTCAGTGCCAAGAGAGCCGTGTATGGCCTGATGTGCTGGTCCAGTTCACATACGTAACTCTGGCCAATCGTGTCCTCCTCCTCTGGTCAGCGTCTCTCTTCTGTGTTTGTTTGGTTGCCTCAGATTTGAAATCAAACATCTTCTCAGTTGTGCGCCCTTCTCCTTATACAGTGTTCACTGAACAAGACCATCCCATGTGCCTTTTGTGTTTTATTTTTATATCCACTACTGACGGTACTAAATATGACAGCTCATTCGCTGTTCTCCATTTCTTCCTCTGGCTGGAGTTCATAGCTCCACCGTCTTTAGATTTGCCTTGTAACATTCCTGGATTTCTCAACTTCTCTTTTCCATTTCTGTGCGAGGTGTGTGCACACGGCCCTGCAGTCTCATGCCCTTTTATGGGTGTTAGCTAGGCGTTAACATATGCTAATTAGGAATGACTGGCACGCACTTTCAACTTACAAACATATAGGATTCATCAATTTCAGAACACAGGTACAATCACTTCTGCAGTTTAAGAATGTGGTCATGAACCAGATGTAGACTTTTCTTAGGACCTTTCTTAAGAACAACTTAAAAACAAATTTGCGAAAACACTGTCTGATGCAGGAAATAAATACTTGGAGAAAAAGTCAGGGTGAACATTTTAACGCTACCCAATTGTCAGTGTTCTGACATCACACAGTAATTGCACTGTTAGTAGAGTATATATAATGAATAATAATACCAAAGAAAAAAAAAAGGCTTGGTCAAGAGAGTGTAGCTGCCTGCACTACCCACAGCCATAGTTGAATGATCAGGTTCTTCACAGTGTGAGTGTCACTTAAAATTTAAGGGGAAAATAAAGTGCCGTAACCAATCTTATTTTCGCTGTTCCTACTATCACTGCATTTTTAAAACTCACAACTGCCCAAGAATGCCTTGTTTTCCTCAAAATATAGTAATGTGTGTTTTCTGGAACAAAAGTCGTGTTTCTTTTTAAATAATCTGGGTATGGTCTTTCAAAATGTGTTAAAACCAAAAGCTATAATACTGTAGAAAACTGATAAATTGTATTTGTTAAATGATGACCTCGGTTGTGTACTTTTGTACTCCACAGATAAGGACTGGGAAGACATTAGAAAGATGCCTGAGTACCCCACTCTGCAGAAAGACTTCAGGAGGACAACGTAAGTGTATGCTGTGATGATTTGACCATTGTCCTCCGAAACCCGTAGTTCAATTAACATATTACAGTTAAACTGCTTTTAAGTGTAGTGTTGTGTTTTCTCATCTAACAGGTATGCAAACAGCAGCTTAATCAAATACATGGAGAAGCACAAAGTCAAACCAGACAGCAAGGTTTTCTTGTTGGTAGGTGCACACCCAAACACACAGTTGTCTTTTTAATCATTTTAGAGAACATAGCATTGAATTTTTATAATGTTACATCTTACACATCACCTAAAGCTCAAAAAATGCTTCTTCTACGCAGAAGCAACTCGGTTTATGCATGTCTCACAAATGAGACTTTTTCTTTTCTTTTTTTTTTATTGCAACACGAAATAACACATTTACACAAAGGACATACCATAGAAGATGCGACAACAGACATTAACAAAAGAGACTAAGGGATTATTAAGTTGTGTGTGTGAAAGTGTGCAGTGTGGGTGTATCCAACTCTATACAGACTGATATTCAGTATGTATTAAAGAAAAATAAAATTAAACCAAATAAATTAAGAAATTCGGGGGGAGGTAAATGTAAAAAAGAAAAAGAAAAGGGGGGAGGGGGTGTTAAATCAATAAAGGAACAGGAGTGTACTGGTGATGCCCCCTCCATGAACCAATAGCACAAGGTGAAGCCACCACCAGGGTGAGGTCGTCCAGGGCAGCAGGACAGCAGTATCCTTGTGTTATCGTTAAATTGAACCTTCCCTTTGTTCTACTGTTTGTCATGGTTTATGTTAATGGTTGACTGTTGGGACAAACAGCTCAGGGTCGGCCCCTGACCTTGACAAGACAGACCTGACCCAATGTGTGGTGTGTTCCCCTCCTAAACAGCTTCCACATCCTTAGGATGGAGCTTGTCTAAGAGGGTGTCAGCAGTCCACTAATGCTATATGCAGTTAAGGGAAAGGAAACAGTGACCTGGCCTTCCTCCCCAATGCTGTGCTGCCCAGAGAAACTGGGTGTCCACCCATGGGCTCTTTAACTTACAGGGCATGTGCTTGTATAACTGTTTAAGTGAGATATGCAGAGATATTTCAAGATATTTCATTTACTGCATTGGCAACAGTAGTACCTGTGTCTTTATTATAATTTGGATAGTACATTGCATTATGTCATTATAATTTGGATAGTACATTGCATTATGTCCAAGGAATATTAAGCTGACACCTGATCCGTTTGTCTATCTGCTGAAACATGGATGTATTAATCACTCTAGCAGGTGCAATTATTTTGTTCTTCTAGCGTCATGATGAGCAGAATGACCAGCATGAGTTCTGGTGCAGTGAAAACTGTTTAGTTAATTCCTTACAGTGTAACTTCTGCATTTAGATACAGTTGCAAGCAAAAGTAACAGCAGTGTTTGCAGTTTCCTGGTTTTCTGCATAAACTGGTAATGAAATGTGATCTGATCTTCACCAAAGTCACAAATAGCAACAAACAATATTTCTAAGCTGACAAACAGACCTGATCTTTCTTTCTTTATTGAACACACCCATTAAACATACAAAGTGATGGTAGGAAAAGTCATGGCAACTGTTTTAATAACAGGTTGAACCACCTTTAGCGGCAATAACCTCAAGCAAGCACTTCATGTAGCTGTGGATTAGACCTGCACAACATTCAGGAGGAATCTCGGACCATTCTTCTTCACAGAACTGCTTCAGCTCAGCCATATTCTTAGGACGTCTGGTGTGAACAGCTCTCTTGAGCTCATTCCACAGCTTGGCCAGGCTGTCACACACTAATCACATAAATGTTTGTTCAAACACTGATTGTTGATTGACAAGTTATTCCTTTTCCCAGCTTAGGCTACATTTCAGGATCAAGGCATCTCTTGTTATTTTTCAGCACATATAACTTGGCAGTTGTTTTACATTCATTCTGGTATGTCGCCTGTTTTCATGCATTTGACTTGGGCGTTCCACAGAACACTTAAGTGCTGCACCTAAGCCTTTATATGTTAGGGGAAAACCCTGGTAATAGAGCTGTGCTGTTACTCTTCATTTTCATTTCGAGTTGCAAGTTATGCAAAGTTGCAGGTGCAGCTTTCACCCTGAAGTGGCAGCCACACAGAATCACCACTTGACTCTATAGTTGCCTTCAGCTCTACAGAGTTTTAACATTTAAACTTAAACTCATCCTATTTAACATTCAGTGTCAAATCCTCTGTAGTCAATCACAGAGTACACTCTGATGATTCTTTGGCAGGTTTATATTGCAACCAGCTTTACTTTGTGCTTTTTTTCATGACACTATTGACTCACTGTAGATGGAAGCGTTCTTAAACAGCCTTAAAACTGAAAAGCAACACTGTAACCTCACAATCATCATTTGAGTTCTAGTGTAATGGAGTAGAGCCCAAAGAATGAAACCATGTCACTGTGCTAATATTTTTTCTTTGTCTTACTGTCATGTAACACTGTGCTTGTTTTTCTTTGCTGTCTTCAGCTCCAGAAACTCCTCACCATGGACCCAACCAAAAGAATCACATCCGAACAGGCGCTGCAGGACCCGTACTTCCTAGAGGATCCTTTACCAACCACTGAGTGAGTCCTACCAAACTTTTGCAATAACCTTTGTTTTATCTTGTTTCACCAAGAAAAAAGGCCCGCAGTTTACTCCACTAAATGTAAGGAATTTGTTTTAGTAGCAGGACTGTGATTGGTTGGTTTCCAGAGTGGTACAATATGTTAATGGAGAGAGGTTTCACTGACTGATTTCTGTCTGGTTGCCTCTAGTGTGTTTGCTGGGTGTCAAATACCCTACCCGAAGCGAGAGTTTCTCAATGAAGATGAGCCAGAAGAGAAAACAGACAAGGTAACTGTTCAGATTTATTGTCTGAGAGAACAAGTTACAGCATGAAAATGATTCAGATGGCCTCACTGGGACTTCTAATCACAATTCCAAAAAGGATTTCACATTACCTATTTGCTTCCTACAGCTGGGCTCTAAATCCCTTTTTTAAGCCTCTGTCAGTTGCCCTGTGTTTCCATCTGCAGAACCAGACCCAGCAGCACCAGCAGACAACAGGCCAGACTCAGGCCCAGAACCAGCAGCAAACAGCAGCCCAGCAGGCACCTTCCCAGCAGAGCTCTGCCCAAACAAATGGCACCGCCGGAGCTACAGGGGCCACCACTGGCGGGGGTTTGCAACATGGCCAGGACCAGGGGCCGCCCAACAAGAAACCTCGGATCGGGCCCTCTGGGGCCGCCTCAGGCACTGGGGTGCTACAGTCAGAGTACCAGGTAAGCAGGAATTTTTTTTCAGCGGGAGATTCAAGAGGAATTTACTCTTCAGAAGTGATTACTTGGTGATACACTATGAGAGATATTTAAGGTTTGCGGGTCATTTTCTGGTGCTAAAGTGTTCATAAGGAGTCGCGGTGGGGCTTTGTGGTGGAGAAACATGTTCAGTAAGAGAGAATGCTGGTATAGAAGTAAAAACATAGTGGGAGATGGACTTACAAATATTTGGTTTAGACTTTTTCATGGGATGTGTTGGCAATAAGACAAGTATAGAATAATGCCAGCATTATTCATTAGGATGATGACAGCATAGAGTAAATACAGTGCGAATGCACAAACAAGGAGGAGCATACAAGTGACTGTTGAGATGAGAGATGAATCTAAGTCCACCATCTACTTGGTGTTGTTTTTTAACATTCCTCAGCCAGTACCTCTCAATGTGTAGGCATAGTGTTCTTCTGTAAGGCAACAAGTAGACAAGTGAAATCAGTGACTTTGGGGGTGATGATTGGTGTAAGCTTAGGGTTGGGTTAAGGTTAGGGTAAGGTAAGTAGTGGTTATTGTTAAGGTTTTTGTAACTCCAGGAAATGATTGTAAGTCACTGTAAAGTCCCCACACAAAAGAAATATGTGTGTGTGGTTGTGGCTGAGAACTGTACATTCCACACAGTCTTCCTGACAGGGCTGATAGCAAGTCACTGAGGTGCCTGCTAGCTTTTGTTTTGTACTCTGGCGCCTGTTTTATCTTTGGCTGGAGTCTTATCACAGGGCCAAAGAGAGGGAGATTTCTGAGTGGTGGAGAGAGTGCAATGAAATATGGGCAGGGACAGGGAGAGTGTGTGTCAGTGAGTGTACTGCATGGAGCACAGTCTAAAAGAGGTGACTGGTTTGACCACTTCTGTCTCTGTATGAGTGTACTTTATCAGCAAGGCCACGTGGAGGGCAACGTACACAGTACAAGTGTATCACATAGTCATGGCCAAAAATATTGGCACCCCTGCATTTCTGTCAGTTAAGGCACCACTTCTCCCAGAAAATGGTTGCTATCACAAATTCTTTGGTATTCTTATGTTTATTTCTTTTGTTTGCATTGGAACAACACAAAAAGCATAAAAAAGCTTAACCTGATCCACATCACACTGAACAGAATTACTGACACCCTCAGTTTAATATTTGGTGGCACACCCTTTGGACAAAATAACTGAAATCAGTCACTTCCTGTAACCATCACTGAGTTTCTTCCACCTCTCTACTGGAATTCTGGACCACTCTTCTTTTGCCAGGTCTCTCAGATTTGAAGGGTTCCTTCTCCCAGCTGCTGCTCTGAGATCTCTCCACAGGAGCTCTATCTGGACTCATTGCTGGCCACTTCAGAACTCTCCAGCTCACTGTCTGAAACCAATTCTGGTGCTGTTTGAAATCTGCTTTGGGTCATTGTCCTGCTGTAAGACCCATGACCTCTGACAGAGACCCAATTTTCTGGCACTGGGCCATACATTGTGCCCCAAAATTAATTTTTTCCTCTTTTGTCCATGTCCAGGGAGATTAGCTACAGCACTATGGGCTGTAAACATCTAGACAATGTTGCCCACAGTGGACACAGGAACAGCCAGATCTCTGGAGATGGACTTGGAGCCTTGAGACTGTCCAGGCTTTTCCACTATGTGGTTCTCTGATCCTCAGACAATTCTTTGCTCTTCTTTCTTTTCTCCATGCTCAGTGTGGTCCACATGACACAAAGGTTGAGTCGACTTTTCTCCATTTTAACTAGTTACAAGTGGGATTTCTATGTTGCCAGCACCTGTTGATTGCTACAGGTGAGTTTCATTACAAATTAAAGGAGCATCACAGGCTGGAAATACAACTATATCTGATCATTTTGAAAAGGTTTCAATAATTCTGTCCAGCCCATTTTTGGAATTCTGTGTGGAATGGATCAGATTGGGCTTTTTCTGTTTTTTGTGTTCTAATACAAACAAAAGAAATAAATATGAGAATAGCAAAGAATTTGTGATTGTGACCATTGTCTGGGAGAAGTGGTGCCTTAACTGACAGAAATGCAGGGGTGCCAATATTTTTGGTCATGACTATATACAGTATATAGCAGGGGCTGAGGCTGCATGTAGGACAACTGGTGGCTGTCAGACCTCAGCAGATGTATAAATAACCCCTTGGAGTGGACTGACATACCAGGAGTGTGGCTAGCTGACTCACTGTGCCAACATTGTCTCGTTGATCCCCCTCTGCCACAGGCTGTCCCACTGTGCACCGTCTCATTCTCCTAAATTGATCCGATGTTGCACATGTGACCGGGACTTTGTAGTGTCTACATGTAATCAGTCCAGCTGGGGCGCTCACAGCCAGCTTCTTCTCAGTTGTGATAGCCAGTCCTGCTGGTAACTGTTCAACTTGAGTGTCCAACAGGTGATAGTGAATTGTTCTGTCCTTTAATTGAGTCCATAAAACTGGGGTGATAAGAAAGAATGGAAGCAGATTTTAAAAAAGCAGTAGAGGCAAGGACATGCAGATTTTTAGAATGTGTCAAACACTGCAACCTATTTTTTGTGTGGTTGTCATTGGCTGGGATGTAAACACCCACGCCTGTAACAGTCTCTGGCCCTCAGTGTGCACATCAGGCTCGTTTGTTCTCATCCATAGCAACAGGGTCACTCCTGCCACTTGTCTGCTCAGGAGTTCGCTCAAATCCTTATTTAAAGTTGATCTTCACAGTTTTGTGAAAAGGGTATAAGTAGGAGCTTTCAGTTGTTACCACAGTTTAACATACAGCACATCAGGTGACACTGCTCCGTGCCAGCCTGCTTACAACCATATTATATAAGAACCTGCTTACACACTGTACTGTTTACTCTTCTGCCAGCACTCCAGCTCCCGCCTTGGTTACCAAAGCAATGTCCAAGGTTCCACTCAGCCCCAGAGCACCATGGGATACTCGTCATCATCCCAGCAGAGCTCCCAGTACACCCACCAGACCCACCGTTACTGAGGCTCCCAGTCACTCCTGAACCAGCAGAGGAGTCAGCTCCTCCTCCTTCAACCAACCCTCACCAACCTCAGCAGGTGTTCACTGCATGCCCCCAGCTCCCACATCCTGGTTGGAACTCCTTCTGTACATTATCATTCCAAGTCAACTATCCTCCTTATGATCCTCCCTCACCTTTGACCTCTCATCTGACAGTCTTCAGTGGCACTGTAACATGAAGGCAAGCAAATATAGGAACCAAAAAAATCTAACAAGAAGTTCTGCCTCGTCGAGCTTGGTGAACCATTTTTAAAACAACTGAAAATATTGTAGGATAGATTTGAAGGCGTCACACACAGAGACTCAGAACGATGGCACTTACACACCCACTGTTCCTCATGAGGAATAATTGCAGCGGCGTTGATGTATATACATACATTATATAGCACCTTTTTCTATTTGGTTTTTTTTTCTCGCTTGTTTGCTAGAATTTTAAAGTTTACCTTGATAGTTGATGTCATTGTAAATATTATGTCTGGAAGCTGTCGGATGAAATGAAGCAGGAGGAAAAACCCTTTAGTGTCATCTCTAGTGTAAAATTACCTTGGATAATCAAAGAAAGGTTTGAGCTAACCCTGACACAGGTCAATGTTTTTACACAGAAAAAAGTCAGCTTTGTAGCTGATGCACTTGCAGGGAAATGTTAAATGCGCAATTTATCTTAATCTTCTTATTGTAACATTTCTATATTTAAATCTGTCTTTATCTGGATTTAGATTTGGAAAATAAGAAGCATAGTTGTCTTTTTACAGTTCTAAGTTGTGTATATTCTGATTCACTCCACTACCTACAGAGATAAGAATCATTTACAGCCAAGCTTCGTTTCCTCTGACGACAACAGCGCTTTCAGGAGGGAGGACGCCTGTTGTTTGTGGCCAGCAGCTCCAGAGTGGAGCTGTTGGTGGACACTTTGTTATGACACCCATCTAATAGACACTCAAGACTTTCAAGATGTCTGAAAATGAGCGTGCGCATAAATATACAGGGCAGCTAACAGTATGGCCCCCCTTCAGTGCTTCTTGAGACTGTTACTGCCTGATATCAGATTGTTTTTTTTTAAAGATTTTATTATCATTGTTGCCCTGAGTGTGTGAAAAGCGTGTGTACGTGTGTGTAGTATGATTTTTATGCATGTTGTTGTATCTTTTTACTTACTAGAACTGCACTGACTGCTGA